ATTGGCGAGGGAACACCGTCCCTGAAGAGGGTATTGGGGATAAAGCCCAGACCTGCCTAGCCGGAGGGCATTCGAAGAGGAGATGGTTAATTGATTCCTCTTCATGACCACAACGGAGGCAGTCTTTCTCCCTACCAATGTGTCGAGAGAAAAGTCTTTGGCAGGTTGCAACGCAACCCGAGAGACATTGCCACATGAAATGCTTTAGCTTTCTTGTGGTTTTAGTTTTCCACACTTGTGCCTGGAGTGCCGAAACATCCGGTCCCTGAAAAGGGAGGTCACAAGAAGGGCGGGAAAGATTTCTCGCGGCCTAATATCCTGACTTAACAGTATAATTCCCTGATTTTGTGTGAACCCAGCTATATCCGTCACTCAGGTAAGTCCGACTAGGGCGAATGCCCAGAATCAGAGGGATATCCGATGGGTCCACAATAGCATTCAAAAGTTCAAGCTTCCATTCCTGAGTATCCCTATTCAGTAGATCATTGACATACAGATGCGGATCTTAAAAAGCTAGAACACTTTTACCAGGTCGAGGTGGGATGGTGGGAAGCCACGGGTCAGTCCATACCCGAGTTAACATTCCGGAGCCAACAGTTCTGCGCAGTCCTGAAACAATCAGAGGCTTGGCAGAAAAGATACTCCTCCATCCATGTTCTGTATATATTAATGTATTCCTGATACTACTGCAAAAATGTGTGTTTACAGCATTTGTTAAAGTTCAATGCATGGAGGTACAGTTCTTGAGTCATGGGATTGCTTTATCGTTTCTAGATCCAGCCATAGCTCGAAAAGCATATATAATATCTGCAATAATATTTTTTTAATTATAGAAATGTCTCCTTTGCTTATTGCTTCCCCCAGACATTAAAGGCACTTCACACTAGTCCGTTACAGTCAATTTTCTTACTGCATTATCTCTTCCTTTTTGCAGGCTCATATCTTCCACTTTGTCTCCTCTCAATCCCTCGAGGCTATTTGGCTTACCGACAACAGAGGAATCCAAACGAATACTACAGAAAAACCAAAATTTCAACAAAACAGAATCATCAATTCGTCTACACCTTACGAGTACCATATCCATTTCTCCATAAAAGCCAATACTTGTCTTGGCTTATAAAACCTTGTGTATTTTGTCTTATACGAACCCGTGATTTTATTTTATTTTTTTTGCCAAATATGAAGAGAGAGTTGGTTTGCCATTGCAACAGTCGAAAAACACAGAGAGAAACGAGTAGTTTCAGTGCAGCAAACTCTGAAGACACCTTTACTGCATCAATAATACAAAAAGGAGAAAGCAGTTATGTGTATGTATGTATGTCTGTCATAATGTCAGTATCATCATCAGCATGCATGTATATATATATATATTAGTTATATATACAGACAAGTATAAGATGGGTGTAAATAAGTTTACTTTTTGGTGGGTTTTTACTCCTTTTGGTGTTGTCTCTTACAAGGACATGTCCTTGTCTGTCTCAGCATGAGCCCTTCTGCATTTACTGACGTTCAGACCCAAGAAAACGACGGATCAGTAACCAAAAGACAAAAAGAAGAAGACGTTCTTAGGCTATCGTGTACTCTTCTGTAGATAATGAACCACATCGATCGTTTCATTCTTTTTTTTGTTTGTTTTGATTTTCTCGTCTACTAGCTAGTAGAAGAAATTAATAAATAGATGAGATGTGGATGTTATGATTCGTTGGTATCATCACATAACGCAAGTATGCAAGATTTGGATATTTTTTTCACCATTTGTTTGAATTATGGTATTTAGTCCGATTGGTGACCCTGCACACGTTCTGATGGCGATAGCTTAAGTAAGACCAACTTGCCTAACATTTTTCTTTTGGTGGAAAGTTATAAAATTAAATTTTCCATCGTTTTCGTTTTCATATAACACTTGTATGTATTGTTGAGAATTTGAGACAGTGTTTCATACTTATATCATAATTCAACTTAGCAAAAAGTTAAAAGTTTATTAGGATAATCGGAGATCCTATTTATTTTTATTTTTTTAGATTTTCTTGATTCATAGTATAATGAATTTTACATAAGTTTGAACAGAGTGGTGCTATTATTGGCCTAAAATATCTTGATGGTTCAAGATCTAATTAAAGACAACATGTAGTGAGTACTTTTGGATGCAATAAGAATCGGTGTTCCTACGTCAAAAAACAAAAGTGTCCAATCCCATAACTAAAAAGATACATGAAATGAGTTTATTGTACTTAACTATATTATGTTTTTGATACTAAGTCACATATCTTAATTATATTTGTATACCCATCTAATTAAACCCTTAAGGTTGTCTTAAGACCGGATCGAATCAATCGCATAAAGATACTCACTTTTTTTTTTTTATGTTGCCAAATGAGAATTCGGTAGGGAATAAACAAATTATTAGTAATTTATAGTTTTTACAGATAGTCAACTACAATGCTTAAAAATATTATTCTTGAGTACCATTTTTCTTCTCCGACATCTACAACTCTATTTCTTTCTTTCTTACAAGTCGTTAATATTCAGTTTAAACTCTGCAGGCACTGTAAATATTCTTAAAAGTAGGGCGTAACTAATACATATATATATAGAGTGGGTTAGGGTTTCTAATGCCTAACTTATATTTAGTTCGAAATATTATGGGGAGGGGAAAACAATAACCTGATTATTAAAAAACGAACCACATGGAGAATCAATTTGAACACAGACTGAAAAAAAATTAAAATTTGGCAGAGCTTTTGACATAACTCAGCCCAAAGTCAGAAATTTAAAACATCTATATATATGTATACATGAATACAAACATTGAACTGTAACGTATAGGGTATTGTCTGTATAAGGATCACAATATCCTATATATGTTGGAAAAAGTAAGGTGAAGTTAAGCCCAGAAGAAGTTCAAGTCCCGTCATCATCAATCATCATTCATCTCCATATATATATATATATTCTCTACTTCTTCTTCGTTTGTGCAGTCCGTATAGACTTTTGATACCCATACTTTTGCCTGCCATACCCCATACGTATAGTACTACTCGGCTGCTTTTATTATTTTTGGTCAACAGGAACATTAAGAAGTTCCAATAAACAATATTAGGAATTAGATTAGTGTATGAATACGTACGGGAGAAACTTTTATGATGACGCATGGTACGAGCTATTACAATTAGAATTTGCAAACCCTTATCGTAAGAAAAAAAAACTGCAAATAATAATACAGAACTTACTTAAAATCACATATACACATAATTAATTAATATGATAAAAAAAACCATTATACTTTCCTAGTCATAGTTTCGTTTGATATATATCAGAAAACTTGATGCATATATAAAGAGTGTTTTAGACAAACTTGTACCTAATTAAATTAGACGGATTTGTGACTAACTATAGTAAATATATATAACAATTGTTATTTTTAACGAAAATTTACCATAATCAATTTAAGAAGATCAAGTTTTGGGTTGGACATGCATTAAAAAGAACCAAGCAATTCCATTGGCAATAACAAAATTAAGACGGCTAGCTATGTAGTGGGCTGCTTTAGACGACGGATAGGTTTGGCGCAAGCATGTTGTTGTTTGGGATGAAAATTTTGCTGCGACAAATTTCACCACAAATTATATTAACTTATTGCGTATTAATTAATATTGTTGCTACATATTTGAACTTAAACACCGACCAATATTTAGACCAATATTACTCAATAAAAAAGTTGGTACAAGTCTTAGGTCTATCACATTACAAGAATAACAAAAAACGTAGAATTCAATTTTTATATATATATATATATATACAATACAGAATACATGATAATATTCGTCGTAATAAGCAGTGGACGAAAGGAGCGGTCAATTATTAGAAGACTTTATAGTGGTGATCAAGTTGGATACAAAGAAGAAAGAAAATGCATGGTGTGATTTTGTGGGCAAAAATCTCAGTGGCAAAGACACTTATTAGAAGAGACGAGAGTGGTCCACAAATCTCTTTGCGATGAGAGTATTTAAGCATTAGATGCTTTAAAGAAAAAAAACTTATAGAACTCGTTGGTCCATTCCCTATCTCAGAGACAGACCCTTACCTCTCCTATATAGCTGTCAATCTATTTAATCATATTTAGTTACTTATTATTGTTATTACAAATAAAAACTTTATATATGTGTATATTTATATGCTTCAAACATAACCTTACAAATAATTAATTAGAAGTAGACGCATTAACACTCCCAACAGTTTGATTTTAACAACTCTAGAAGTACCAGATTTAGGGTTTCAAAGTTGATGTAATGTAATTCAATAATTTCTCTAACAGTCTCATGAAGCGACCAACTATGATTTAATAAAATGTCCCGATATATAATAAATTGGTCCTTCCATTTTTTCTTTTTTTTTTCTTTTTTTGATATTATGAAAATTTAATTCATAATATAAATGTTCAAATTCTTTTATATGTTTTACACAGTGCAACTTCTTTTACCATTTATGTTATCACTTTTTAAAGCTCTTGTTACCATTTCTATATTCAACCGCACGCTTTCTCTTAAATGACTTTAGCCGTATGTTCTTTCTTTTTTTTTTGTTACCAATTCAAAATTAAGATAAGAAGACAACAGATTACAAACTCGGGGTAAATATTAAACTATACTCCATAAAAGTGAAAATAAATGTCTTAAACGCAGGAAAGGGAAACCAAATTTGAAAACTAAAATACATTAAAATTTATTGTAAAGGTTTTTTTTTTGTCAACTATTGTATGGGATATTTTATACAGTATAAAAAAATTTATGTGACTGTGAGTATAACGAAACATGCACATTCCCATCACAGTATCAAATACACTACATAAAATGCACCTCTTTTGTCTTTCTGCATAAATTCCTTTCATACAAAAATAAAAATAAAATATAATAATAATAATAATAATAATAAACCCTAGGGATTGGAATCTACAAAATATAAAAATATATTTTAATTATTAATTATTTTTACATCCCCAATCATTATAATACATATATAATTCTAGTTTCCAAAAAAAGAAATACTTTACATTCCTCTGCCTCCTTATCTCTTTCTTATTCTCCATTCTTCTTCCTTCTTCATTCTCTATCAAGCTAGATCTTATACTAGGACTCAAGCTTTTACCAGCCTTCAATATCGATGTAAGAACATATTATCTTTGAATTTCAACTTCTTATGAGTTTTCTTTTCTTAGATGACTTAAGCTTTTCTATTTTGCTTTGTTTTCATGTGAATTGTGCTCAAAACATTTTTACAAAGCAAAAAATTGATCACCTCGCCTCAATTTCATTCCATCAGAAGCTTACAACAACTAATTGTTCTCTTCTTGATTTTTTTCCTCTATTAAATGGTTCAATTTCTTCCCTTCTTGTTTCAGATCTGTTCTTTACAAACGCTTAAGAAAATATCTTGAATTACAAGAGATGAGATCAAGAGAATGCGAAGAAGAGGAGATTCAAGCAAAGCAAGAAGGAGATAATAGTCAAAACCATCAGGTAAACTTAAACCACATGTTGCAACAACAACAGCCGAGTACAGTATCATCTTCAAGGCAATGGACTTCAGCTTTTAGGAATCCAAGAATCGTTAGAGTCTCGAGAACATTCGGTGGCAAAGACAGACACAGCAAAGTCTGTACAGTCCGTGGTCTTCGAGACCGGAGGATAAGGTTGTCCGTACCTACAGCAATTCAACTCTATGACCTTCAAGATCGATTAGGGCTGAGTCAGCCAAGCAAAGTCATCGATTGGTTACTCGAAGCAGCAAAAGATGACGTCGACAAGCTCCCTCCTCTACAATTCCCACATGGTTTTAACCAAATGTATCCAAATCTCATCTTTGGAAACTCCGGGTTCGGAGAGTCGCCATCTTCAACAACATTTCCAGGAACCAATCTTGGGTTCTTGGAAAACTGGGATCTTGGTGGTTCTTCAAGAACAAGATCAAGAATAACCGATACTGCTACGACCCAGAGGGAAAGTTTCGATCTTGATAAAGGAAAATGGATCAAACACGACGAGAATAGTAATCAAGATCATCAAGGGTTCGACACCACCCATCAACATTTCCCTCTGAGCAATCCTTACAATAACACTTCATCTTATTACAACCTCGGACATCTTCAACAATCGTTAGACCAATCCGGTAATAACGTTACCGTCGCTATATCTAATGTTGCTGCTAATAACAACAATAATCTCAACTTGCCCCCTCCTTCCTCGTCTGCCGGAGACGGATCTCAGCTTTTTTTCGGTCCTACTCCTCCAGCTATGAGCTCTCTATTTCCGACATACCCTTCGTTTCTTGGAGCTTCTCATCAACATCATCATCATCAAGTCGTAGATGGAGCTGGTCATCTTCAGCTCTTTAGCTCGAATTCAAATACGGCGACGCAGCAACAGATGATGACGGGTAATACGAGTTTGATTAGACCATTTCATCATTTGATGAGCTCGAATCATGATACGGATCGTCATAGTAGCGATAATGATTCAGATTCGTGAAAGATTAACTAAATCCTACACTATACATAAACATGTATACGTATTCTTCTATATTTTTATATATATGCGTATTGTTAGGTTGGTTTTATAATATATATCTTCCTCGTGTATGTATGGAAATTTTAATAATCTCGGATTTGGATTGGAGCAAAGACATTCATACAATGCGAGGATGGTTGTTATATATTTATAAATTTTTGAGTTTTGATATATGTCTATTTAGTCTTTGCTTGCTTTTGAAATTGGATGAACTATACTTGAATGTGTTTCTGCCTTCATTTATGAATATACATACACATCATATAGTAATTACTCGAATACTATAGGTACGTATCTCATAACTGTATAAATCTAGTACTTTCATCTTCATGCATAATTATATTTAGATTAGTAAATCTTCTTAATTAATGGACCTAGCTAGCAATAAGTAAACGTAGCAATATAGCATATATATGGATTTCAATTATGGACCTAGGTTTGCGGTTAAATTGGTTTAAATGAATTAGAGTAAAATAGTAAACATAGCTTATGTCCATTGAAATCCATAGGTTATACAAACAGCATGTGATTAGATTCAAAACATATCAATTAACAGCTGCTACCGTCAACTCCATCCGCTGTGTATGTTAGTTGTGGCCGGACATATATGATTGATGCATATATATATATGTAGCAGTTCGTCGCCATTGCTTGGTTTAGTTCTAGTCTCCTTTGATTGATTTGGCGCCTATATATACCTCATCTTATCTTTGGATCTGCTTCACATATATTTCGAGTTGTATTAGCGAAGCATATCATGTTTTCATCTTGTTTTAAACTTGTAATCTCAAATTGATGTTGTCAAAATATTCTCGTATGATTTATCTCAATAATGAATCTGCAATCATTAATAATTTAATACATAGTCAGTACTTGAATATAATGAATCGTAACTATGAAATTTATAGCTTTAACTAAAAATATTATTGGAGAGAATATATCAAAATATAATATAGAAAGTCATTTTGGTGCACAGTTAAAATGAAAGAAACAGAAGGGGTCGTTGCTTGTCATGTGTGTCAGAAATAAGTTTCAAATAATTTTTATGTCCACAGTCATTATTTTCTTTCATAACTAGGTATAATTAATTAGACGGGCGTATTACGAAATTCTTATTCATACGAACTATATACGTAACACGCATATTCTATAAGTAGATACAAAAATAGGAGTATATATATAGAGAGATAGCTAGGTTGCTGTTCACAATGGCTAGTTGCAGGGCAATATATAATGCATGCCAAACCCTAGCTATAGCCTCGTGTGTATATATGCGTCACACCTATATATAATCATGTACACGTATATAACATATGCATCCATATGTGAGTATGTACTAAATTACTTATTAAGAAAGTGACGGTTACCAAAAACAAAAGAAAACAAAGTGAGCATGTCTATCTATATAAATTATATGTAAGGCAAATTAGTAGAGATAGCTAGCATTGTCCTCATATTTCCGTATTTGCTGACTTTTGAATCCAAACGATCAAAGTTCAAACTAAATAATCGCTGGTAGTCTTTAGTCGACGACACACAACTGATTTCAATAAGAGAGCTAATAAATGTAATATATGGATTTATATTCGTAAGCACATTCACATTCTTATTCACGTGTGTGAGCGAGAGGGATTCTATTTAGGTCAAAGCAATATAATGCAGAAATCGATCTCGATGCATGTAAAAGAATGCTATATATATATATATATAAATAATTCTCAACGTTTTATATACTTAAATTTTTTAGAGCATCTTTAATGGTGAGTTTTTAAGGTTAGTTTTTAAAATTGTTTAGTATTAAATTTAAACTTTTAATTGTTTATTAGATAAAAGATATTTCATAGGTTAAAGATTTCCTAAAATCCTATCAATAATAATGGTCTAATTATACCTCTTAATTACTGGTACATACTAGATTTGTTTCGAATTAAGTTCTATATATGTTTGTTTTCACTCATAGAGTCATAGTATATAAAATACAAAAAAAAAAAGTACAAACGCCTAGCTATCATAACCTTTATTTGCTTACATAAATGTGTACTTAGCTATAGGAACGTTCTCTAGTATGTCTTTATTTTACTGAACAATACATGTATATAAGGTTGATGATCTTGATACATGATATACATATATGAGTCGAGCCTCCTTATAGAACCTTGGTCAGAATATATATAATACCACCGCAAGAAAAAAAAAGATATATATGAAAAGGAAAAGAAGAAGAAGAAGAAGAAAAAGAGAGAAAGAGAAGAAGATGATCGATGGTGAGTATTGGGATTGGAGGGTCAGAGAAGGAAAGGGAAAGAAGAGAAGCAGTTAAGACAGCAACTGAATTGCAGTCAAGCACTGATCCCTATTGCTCTCTCTCTCTCTCTCTCTCTCTCACTCTCTCTTCTCCAAGTTGTGGGGTCGTTCCCATTTGTTAAAATTATTGGTTTTTCAAAACATAACTTATTTTCCTTTTTGGTGGTCCTTTTTTTTTGTTTTTTTTTTTGTATCTTTTCATAAATCATGTGTTTAGATATAGATGGGCACACACCTTGTCAAGAAAATTCAAAGATTTTGCCATTATACATACATTGTTTTTCTTTTTTTACCTTTTTCAACCAAAATTCTGTTCAATACCTACACCAAGCATCTCTTCGTATAAATATGAGTTGAAATTTATATTCTGATACTTCAAAAAGGCTATTATTGCACTTGTTCTTTCTTTGTTATCTAGTTGAAATTCATATCGACCTACATTTTCTTTCTCTTTTTAGTTCTTTAAGATAATGAGTATACCATAGCACTTTTTTTTTTACATCTACGATAACATTTTTGTTTTTTATCAAAGTGAAAATGCGAATAATTAAAAAAAAAACTTATGATACCATCTTTAGAATCTTTAAGTGGAAAGAGCTAATTTTATCTTAAATGGGATAATATATGCATGGTCCATATGATTATAAACTTCCTTTTCATCACCGGCATGCTTCAAAGTTAAGACATGAAGATAAAAAAAAAAAAAAAAAAACAGGTCCACTTTATTTCATTTTCAAATAATTCATTCACTTAGGCATGCAATTCTTTTTGTTTTCTCCTTTTTCTTTTTCAATTTTTTTTTTTCAGAGGTTATTATTTATGGTACATTTAAAAAATCCTATAAAAACTATATAGTATATATGCTTTCAAAGAAACCTTTTTTTTATCCTCATAATCTACAATACTTAATAAATATAAAGACGAGCAAACAAAAAGAAAGCTTTGTTACCAATTCTATAGTTTAAAAAAAAATATTGGTCTCCTTGAAAGGAATATTGCGATGCCTCGACATGGAGATCTTTTTGTGTATTACTCATAATATTTTTTTTTTTTTTTTTTTTGAATAAATCCCTCATCATTATGTAGAATTAGACATATAACTCAGAAGTTCTGATAGTTTTACTATATGGTAAAATGGAGATTGCGTGAGGTTCAGTTTCTCTTGATAATATGAATCATAATTTGTGGACGTCAATTAATCAAATCATAGCCTTACACATATATGATATGTAAACAATTCAAATTAGGGTGTATAATTGTTTGCATTTATCGTCTTTACTTGCTTTTTACAGGTTAAGGTGCTCTAATTAAAGAGTGAGATGTAGTGATGTATATTTTGTTTTGATATATTTGTAGAACGTGCAGCTGAGTTGAATGTTTAAGGGGTCCAAAGGGTAACATCAAGTGATAGTTTGTCAATGTTTAAGTATATGCAGTTGATCGAGTCATAAACTTACCCTTGTTAGTTATATAATCACATACGTAATTGCTCTTGAATATTATGGTATTTTGCGATGAGTAGCTCTGTGTTGTATTGTACGAATTAACTTAGCATACATGGGATCAATAAGACAACAACTGTCGTAGGAACACCGAACACCCTAGTCTACAATTTTTCACCTGTTACATAATTTGGTTAAATCCAAACCACTAATACATACCTAAAAATCTTATAAGTACAATTGGGCCTTCAAAAATAAAATAAAAAAAGATGTAACAAAAATAAGCCCCCGGCGAGGATCGAACTCGCGGCCTTTCGCTTACGAAGCGAACGCAATACCACTATGCTACGGAGGCATTTCGATGATGCTAATCTTCTCCTATAATTTATTTAATTCTACGTTTTCCAATATATTAAAGGAGGATGGATTATTCATTTAGCGACATCTTCATTGCAAAATTCACAACCAGATAAAGTCAAAAAGAAGAACCACAACAATTTTGATTCTTGACATGGGAGTTTCAAGTTTGGATGATTAGATCGGAGTTACTGGTCTCATGGTTAATAATTCCCATTTTTTTTCTTTTCTTTTTTCACTGCATTTTTACCAAAATCATAATTGTTTCTAGACACAACTGATCCTATTTTTTTTTATGTGGTGTTCTCTTTAACTTCAAGGTTGGGTGATTGGTTGAAGCAAATGACAGTCACAAAATGCTTTTTATCAACATTTTTGTTGTTTTCTCTCCTATTAAATGGTATGTTTTAGACTACCAAATTAAAAAAGAAAATTACATAAATTTATCTTCTAAAGTTTGAACAATGATAATTATGTTCAAAATTTTATATTGATAAAAGAGGTTTAATTTTAAAATCTCGCACAGCATATCAGAAAATCTTAGCATACCCAAATTCGGTTAAAATAGAAATAGAGAAAAAAACGGAAGGTGCGGTAGCTGAGCATTTACCGAGACTATTATGCATACAATCGTGAAAAGTGAAATTACACTTTACAGAATAAAATGTTGAGAACACTTTTTTTTTTTTTTTGCTTAATTGATTCTTTTGTTTAGTGGTAAATTTTGTTTTGATTAATGAACAACAATAAGATCCTTTCTTAGATATATGGATGGAAACGAAACTATAGTCTATAGTATTACTTATTATGTTTATAAACGTCTTTGATTTCTTTTATGAGGAGAATTAGTTAGCCGTATATAAATTTAAAATGTAGTTGAAACTTGCAACATTAACTACGACATATTGATCATCTAGATAACCTCAATGAGACTATGACAATGACTCTCTCTGCATTTATTAATTTTAAAAAAAAAAAAAAAAAAAAGAGAAACTGCACATATACTGGTTTAAAACGCAAAATGGAGGTGCGGGGAATCGAACCCCGTGCCTCTCGCATGCGAAGCGAGCGCTCTACCATATGAGCTACACCCCCGATTGTTATATCTGCGATGATAATTATTTATATATCTTTTTACTCTTAAAACGGGCTTCAATTGTTAAAGCCCCAAAATTAGGCCCATTAACGCATGATGTTCCTAAATCTTGAACTAGGGTTTTATTCTACTTCCCTTTCTCACACTCTCTCTCTGGTTACTAATTTTCTCTCACTAATATCAGAAAATGCCGCCGTCGTTACCGTCTCTGCAACTCCGGCGACTGCTCCTCCGCACTATCGGCTCCTCCTCCTCCTCCGCTAATATTCTCCAATCCCAGTCACGGCTCATTTCTTCCACACCATCTTTTTCTCCTCTACCGCCTTCCCGTCCCTCAATATTCTCAACATTTCCTTGTAGATTCTTCTCATCTGAAACAAATGCGGATTCAGAATCTTCAGATCCGAATCAGATTGCTCTCTCTTTCTCCAAGGAGCTCACTGGGAATCCAGAGGCGGAGTCTCACTCTATTTCTCAGAGATTCAATCTCAGCTTCTCCCACATCACGCCGAATCCGGATTTGATTCTTCAAACACTGAATCTGTCCCCTGAAGCTGGTCGCGCTGCTCTCGGGTTTAACGAGTGGTTGGATTCGAGCAATGGCTTCTCTCATACGGATGAGACAGTTTCGTATTTCGTCGATTACTTCGGTCGTCGGAAGGATTTCAAAGGAATGCTAGAGATCATCTCGAAATACAAAGGTATCTCCGGAGCTAAAACACTTGAGTCTGCGATTGATAGGCTGGTTCGAGCTGGTAGACCTAAGCAGGTCACTGATTTTTTCGAGAAAATGGAGAACGATTACGGGTTGAAACGTGACAAAGAGTCACTGACGTTGGTTGTGAAGAAGCTTTGTGAGAAAGGCCATGCGAGTATCGCGGAGAAGATGGTGAAGAACACTGCCAATGATATTTTTCCTGATGAAAATATTTGTGATCTGTTGATTAGTGGTTGGTGTACTGCTGAGAAACTTGATGAAGCAACTAGGTTAGCTGGTGAGATGTCTAGAGGAGGATTTGAGATAGGAACCAAAGCTTATAACATGATTCTTGATTGCGTTTGCAAGCTTTGTAGGAAGAAAGACCCGTTTAAGCTTCAACCTGAAGTAGAGAAGGTTTTGCTCGAAATGGAGTTCCGCGGTGTGCCCAGAAATACAGAGACTTTCAATGTGTTGATTAACAATCTTTGTAAAATAAGGAGAACCGAAGAAGCCATGACATTGTTTGGTAGGATGGGTGAATGGGGTTGTCAACCAGACGCTGAGACATACCTTGTTCTGATTAAGAGTTTATATCAAGCAGCTAGGATTGGTGAAGGAGATGAAATGATCGATAAGATGAAATCAGCTGGATACAGTGAGTCTTTGACTAAGAAAGAGTATTACGGTTTTTTGAAGATATTGTGTGGGATTGAGAGGCTTGAGCATGCCATGAGTGTGTTCAAGAACATGAAAGCGAATGGAATCAAACCTGGGATCAAAACTTATGATTTGTTGATGGGGAAAATGTGTGCGAATAACCAGCTAACTAGAGCTAATGGTTTGTACAAAGAAGCAGCTAAGAAAGGTATCGCTGTTAGCCCCAAGGAATACAGAGTCGATCCACGGTTTTTGAAAAAGAAGACCAAGGAAGTGGACAGCAATGTGAAGAAGAGAGAGACGTTACCTGAGAAAACCGCGAGGAAGAGGAGACGGCTCAAGCAGATCAACATGAGTTTTGTTAAGAAACCGCACAACAAGATGAGACGAAGAATGTGATGCTGATGATCTTCAACATCTGATAGAATTATTTAAAGATTATTATGGTCTGTGTTCTTTCCTTTTTTATGATTTTGTAAGGAGAATTCTTCTTTTTGCTTGGTCACGAGCAAATAGCTCCAATAATTTTGGTTTGCCTCAATGCATCGTTTACCCAGAGTTTATGCTTGGCTCAGGAATCGGGGATAGAATTAATTATTAAGTTTCTTTGTTAATTTAATGCTTATCTTGTTCAAACAATTTGAGTTTAGTTATACGGGACCAAGTAAGCATTGTTAAATAGTCCTATGATTTATTTAATGTAATACAAAATCCCGGGGATAAAGGCATATTAAAGTGGTACAACTGTAATGATGTGTAATTTTGTACCCTCTTGAGTCAAAGTCGTCGCCTTGATCTCTCTTCTCACAAAGTCTCTCCCTCTCTTCTTACAAACTCTCTCCCTCCCTCTCTTCAATTCTGAACTACAACAATGGAGTCTCTCTTCTCCGCTATGATTGTCCTGCTCTTGGTTTCCTTTTCTTGTTTGACTTATTCAGGTAAATCTCTGAATGAGAAGAAGATGAAGAAAATCTCTCTCCTGCAACACATTCACCTTCATTTGTCTTAAAAAACTTATATAGTCCAATGTGTTCTCTGATCTGCAGAAGCTCGCTCCAGCAACAACGGACACATCACAGTCAAATGGGATCTCATGAGCTGGACGCCTGATGGCTACGTTGTAAGTAGTTCTTCTTCTTCTTGTCTCACAATATCTTTGGTTCTGCTTTAACTTCAAGATTAAATCCATATCAGGCAGTGGTTACAGCCTACAATTACCAGAAACAACGTTCGGTTCCAGGATGGACAATGAGCTGGAGATGGACCCGGAAAGAAGTGATCTGGAGCATGATTGGTGCACAAACCACAGAGCAAGGAGATTGTTCCCAGTACAAAGGAAACATCCCACATTCCTGCATTCGTAAGCCAACAGTTGTCGATTTGCTTCCCGGAACTCCTTACAATCAGCAGATCGCTAATTGCTGCAAAAGCGGTGTCTTGAAACCCGGTTTAGAAAGTTCATTCCAGTTAGCCGTTGGTGCAGCTGGTACTTCAAAAAAAACTGCTCGGATGCCGGTAAACTTCATGTTCTCGGCACCTAAACAACAGTACATCTGTGGACCGACTAAGAACGTTCGATCAACCAAGTTTATAACTGCAGACGGCAGGAGAATAACTTCAGCCATGGGTAAGTATCTATATAGAAACAAATCTTGACAAGTCTGTGATTCTGATTTTGAAACTCACCTGCTTTATTTTTGTTCTTATGCAGCGACCTGGAACATTACTTGCGTTTTTCACAAGGCAATATGAATAACAGAACTCTTCAAAATAATATCTTATAAGCAAATCTGTCTCCAGAATTTCTATACTTTCGTAGTATCATGTATGCTTTAAGTTTTAAGAAAATAAAAACACTACTTTGATTCATTGGATTCTATTCTAGACGGATTCCTTCCAGAACCTAACTGATCTGTCTGTTCCACAAGTAACAAAGACGGGTTCCACCGGCGAGTGCTCAATCCACCGCGGTGTTCCGTTATGGTTTGAAGGCCACTTTGCCACTTTTTCTGCGGTTCTGGCATCCCATGTAACAACCTCATTGCTTGCTTCATCTATGGAGATTACAAACTCTTCAGTTTCGTTAAAGATTGCCTGCATAACACAACAATGAAGATCGTTTAGTAGTAGTCGGATCCAGTAAACATTTTCGTCTCAAAAGGTTTAGAGAATTGGTTACCTGAGACCTCAGTTTTATTCGCTTTGCTCCGAGATATTCCTTTACCATTCGACCAGAACCTATTTCCCATAACTTAACCGTACAATCCTTACCAGACGAGAGAACAAACCTAACAAAAGCCATATAATTAATCAATTGTTCTGCCAAGAACTATTGAGCAACAGTAGTGATGTGTAAGAGAAAATCGATTGAATCTTTTTCTTACCTTTGATCTCTAGAGAACACTGCGCTTGTCACCTCTGACTTTCCATGTGCACCGTTAATGGACCGTATACACTTTGCGCTGACCCCGTCATAGAGTCGAATAGCTCCATCCTTTGAGGCTGTAACATAGATGGATCCCGTGGAAGAATATCGCACCTGAATAAAACCAAGAATCTCACAGCCATGAATCCATGTTCATCACAAGAGATGAATATAGAATGCACAATGAAGATTGATCAGATAAGTACCTGATTAATGGCTCCATTTACTCCGTTATCTGGGGAATTTGGAGGAAGAAAACACTGATATGTGTTTACGTCGTACAGATGTGGAATTGGATGATCGGTTCCTGTAAAGGCCTAGTTTTCTTATTCACGATATACTGATCAGATCTTCATCTAGATCATTGTTTGAATTCAAAGAAAAAGACTTCACAAGATGGTCTCAGCAATATACAATCACCTGCAAGAAGAAACTCTCCTGATGGATGAAAGGATACAGAGCGCACATTATGGGTATCCTGCAAAATTAAGAATTAAGGATATGATCACATGCGATGTTTTTTTGCACCATGTAGCTAAGCAGAAACTGATAACAACCATGATCTCTACCTGAAAAACTTTGAATGCTCGTTTAGCTGTGGTTTTCGAGAAGTCGAAGAACCTATCAAAGTCATTAGAATAACACAAAAAGAGGTGAACACAAAATTTTCTTGTAATCACTGCGAGAATCTATTTAGGTAGAGAAAACGGAAACGGAAACGGAAATTAGATACTTTATACAGTTGTCTTTGGCACTGGATATTAGGATTGTGCTCCGAGGGTGGAAATCAAGATCGTTTATTGGCTACAAATGATAATCACAAGTATAAGAGATATTAAAAAATCTAAAAGAAAGTGGCAGAATTATGAAAAAGGGAAAGGCTTACTTCAGCATGATCATAAAAAGTCCGTATTAACGGTCGAGCTTGAGTATCTCCTGAAAGCATCTGTTTTACTTTTGGCACCTTAAAGAAACAACATAGAACAGCCACAGAACTATCAATTCTTGATGATGCTTAGTAATACAAGGTCGGTACAATGAAAAAGAAAAAAATTCAGTACCTCAAAGAGCTTAATTGATGTGTCTGCACCGCCAGTTGCAAAAAACATTCCATCAGGACTAAATCTTGCACACCTAACAACGCTCTATAAAATTCATAAGCTTATCAGCCAAACTAAAAAATCGCGAAGAAACATTAGTAAGGGTTAGTTCAAGTTGTATGACTTGTGTCTACTTAGACATATATAATATTTATATATATATATACCTTGTGCTCTGACAGGGTCTTGGATTCATGCTTTGGAATAGCCTTTGAAGAGCCTTTCAAATGAGTAACACTAGTAGGACATATTCCAAACATTTTTTAGATGATATGCTGTTATGATTTCATCTATTAAGAAACATAACTCATTGGGAAAAAACGAGACATCACCTGAAGTCGATAGAAGCTGTTCTAGGCGCAGTGATTGATCCATAAGAACAGGGTAACAAGACTGATGAAGAAAGACCTCTCAGTGTCCCATTGTTCTCCGCTGCAAGACCCTGTTCTCATCTCAGAACCAAAAATTCTTTCTGATTCTGGTCCAGAGAACCAAACATGTTCCAAAACACTCCAAAACTATAACACAGAGATTCTTCAGAAAGTGGAAGAAAGGCAAAAAAATCAATAACCTTTGCAACAAGCTCTAGAAGACGGTTTGGAGGAACTTCAATATTCAATGGTGTCATTGTCGCTGATGCAACCGCACTTGCCGCCTAAAAAGTTGATACCGAAATCAAAACTTTAACAATTTGACTGTATTGAAAAATCCAAACTTGAGCACTTAACTACTCTTCTTCCAAACACCTCATCCTTTTAAACACACATGATTTGAAATTCAAAAGAAATATATCTGACTGAATTTCAAAGTGTCACACTTTAACACCACAAGAAAAGACACAAAAAAAAAAAAAAAAATCCAAAAATAGATATTCTCAGAATCCCAATTTGAATAGCTGGTTATCACTTAGCACTCCTATACTCAAAGTAGCGTATATTGATGTACGCTGCATATGTGTATGTACAAGATATAAAATTAGAATCAGGGTATGATTAAGAATGATAGCAAAGACACACCTGTGAGAGATTGTGATGACGGAGATGAGCTACGATTAGAGCATTGAGCTGTCTAAATATATTCCCATCTTGCAGAGCCTGGTCCAAATCTCCACTGTTCACCATTTCTCAACACTTCGAAACCCTCAAAAACCTTCCCACACTAGTTCAATTCGAAACCAGAGTCGCCATCTCCGAGCATAAACTCTGTGAAAGTGTGCAAGTGTAAATCATCGTCTTCCTCCTACACTCACTTCAGAATAAGAATCAAAATGGGCCCAAATTTAAAACATGGGCTTAAATATAAACTTAGTGGGCCTTTAATATTATTTAGCGATCTGATCATGTGCATGACACGTGCGTAACGGTCGCAAACGCAAAGAATGAAAAATTTGAATTCGTACCTGAGCGGCGCTTACATTTTACATTTCCATAAGAGTATTAATTTGTTGCCTTTCTGGTTTTTCTTATTATAATTATCAACCTCTCAAAAAACAAAAAAGTGCCCCTTCTCTTTCTCTTTCTCTCTCTATCTTCAAAATTTGAAATCTCATAGCCTCAATGTTTGTCATTTCCTGAGAATTTTCTTCACGAAATTTTTTTACCCAGCTCTTACGTTTGAGGATTGGATCTACATTTTCGTGGTGTTTGATTGGGGTTTTTGCATTCGTCGGAGGTGGGAATTGTTTCTGGATTGAATCCGAACCCGAGGAATCTGGGTTTCTGTGGTTGAGCCGGCGGCGGAGATGGAGAGCACTGAGTGCGTTAGGGTTGCGGTCAATATACGGCCGCTGATTACGCCGGAGCTTCTGAACGGATGCACCGATTGCATTACCGTCCCCCCAAGAGAGCCACAAGTAATTCATTTTGAAGGGTTTTTTTTTTTAATTTCATTTTTCAGCGTTTAAAATTTCACACTCTTTTGTGAGATTCCTTCATTTCTGATAAGATTCGAATTTAGAATTTCTTCAGTTTGGGAAATCAAATATATGCGTGATTGAGAAATTATAAGGGTTTTCTGAAAGGGCTGTGAATAAAACGTTGAAAGGATTTTTCATGGATGATGAGATTTGAATTTATAAAGGACTGTTCATATGTAGAATTGATTCTTTGTAAGTTTATTATAATTGTAGTTGAAAGAACTCATTTTGTTGGCTTTTCTTCTGTATTGAACAGGTTCATATTGGCTCACATACTTTTACTTATGATTTCGTTTATGGAAATGCTGGCTACCCGTGTTCAGAGATTTATGATCATTGCGTTGCTCCACTTGTCGACGCGCTGTTCAAAGGATACAATGCAACTGTTCTTGCTTACGGCCAGGTTTGATTTTGTAAATTTTCTCAACTCTGCATTTCCTTTAAGCTATTTTTTTTTAAGTTTAACCGATCAGATTCTTTCTTTGTCTGTTTGTTGCTATTGAAGACTGGTTCAGGAAAAACCTACACCATGGGTACCAATTATAATGGAGATGGCACAAATGGTGGGATTATACCAAACGTTATGGAAGATATATTTAGAAGAGTGGAGACCACCAAAGATTCATCTGAACTATTGATACGAGTGTCTTTTATTGAGGTAAAACCCTCTTCGGAGCTTGTTTTTCGAGGTCTAATTTGTAAATTTCAGTACTGATACTTTACCTGTTGATGCAGATTTTCAAGGAAGAAGTTTTCGATTTGCTTGACTCAAATTCCTCGGCTCTCCAAAAAAATGACACTGGGGTTCAAGCAAAGCACATTGCCCTCTCAAGAGCTCCAATTCAAATCAGAGAAACTGCCAGTGGAGGAATAACATTGGCTGGCGTTACTGAGGCAGAAGTCAAGACGAAAGAGGAGATGGGCTCTTTTCTAGCACGCGGCTCTTTGTCCCGAGCTACTGGCAGCACAAACATGAATAGCCAATCAAGGTGAATTTGTTTATCTGAATTGCACTTAAATTTATTCCCGTTATCTTTATAACTACTTATATACTTGCTAGAACTAATGTGGCTGATCCATTAGTAGAAGTTATGAATGAATAAAGATAAAATTTCTTACATCAGATCTATAAAACCAGTATTAAGAAAGTATAAGCTTTTACTAGTATGCTAATGTAATCTTGCGTTGTTAGTCGGTCCCATGCAATCTTCACAATCACTTTGGAACAAAAGAAGATTTCCAGCGGTTCTTTCACAACAACTGAAGATGGTGGTGAAGACATCTTATGTGCAAAGCTCCATTTGGTTGATTTAGCAGGGTCAGAACGTGCAAAACGAACAGGAGCTGATGGGATGCGTTTGAAAGAAGGTTGTCTCATGTCTATCTTTGAGCTGTATATTATTCTTTTGGTTTCTTGAAAGAGACTATGGCTAAACCAGAAGTTTTATTTTCTGTATATTTACACAGGTATTCACATTAACAAAGGTCTACTAGCACTTGGAAATGTAATTAGTGCACTTGGAGATGAAAAAAAGAGAAAGGAAGGAGGTCATGTTCCTTACCGTGACAGCAAGTTAACTCGTTTGCTTCAGGTATTAAGTTTACTTATGTTTCTGTCAATTACACTACATGTCCTTGTATATATGTGGTTTTGAAGAAGAAGAAAAGCTAATGGTAATAATCTGTTATTCAGGATTCTCTTGGAGGCAATAGCAAAACTGTGATGATTGGTATGGGTTTCTCATCTATTAGGTTTTTAAATCATTTCATTTCTGATCAAGCATTAGACAGAAATGTTTTCATCCATCTTATTATATTTCGTAATTTATGATCTCTAAATGTTGCAGCTTGCGTAAGTCCAGCTGATACAAATGCTGAGGAAACTTTGAATACGCTCAAATATGCAAATCGTGCACGTAATATTCAAAACAAAGCAGTGGTACGCATATATTAGGTCTTGCTTTTAACTGTGAATTCTCAACAAAATAATTCATTTCTGGCCTAAACTTCTTGTAATTTCTTGCAATACTTAGATCAATCGAGACCCAGCAACCGCACAAATGCAAAGAATGCGGAGCCAAATTGAGCAGCTGCAGACAGAACTCTTGTTCTATCGGGGTGATAGTGGTGCCTTTGATGAGCTCCAGGTATTCAATCTGATCTAAGACAAACAGTAACGGTTTATGCTTGTCATATTTTCAATAATTAACTGATATAATCTTTGATTAGATTCTCAAGCATAAGATATCACTGCTTGAAGCAAGCAATCGTGAGCTACAAAACGAACTTCAAGAACGGAGAGTCGCTTCTGAGCATTTCTCAAAGCGTGCTTATGATGCTCAGGTTTTTCTTTTACACATTTTTGTAAAAAAATGGATCTAGCCCATATGACATGTAGCACCTAAACACTTTTTTCCCCATCCATTTAGGTTGAAAAGGACAAACTCATAATGATAATTGAATCTGTTCGCAATGGTAAATCCTTGGACGAGATTGAATACTGCCAAACTGAGGTGAGATGTCCTTTATGATTCCTTCATTGAAATTTACGACCAACTGGATTTTTTCGCTAAAGTGTCTAATTTTCCAGGATGTTGGTTTGGTGAAGAAGTATGTTTCCAAAATTCAAGAGCTAGAAGGAGAGCTGTTGCATATCAAAAGCTTGAAGAAATCAAGTAACTGCCAATTTTCAGATGATTCCTATGACGATGGGCCTCGTTCGAACAATGTCTTGTTTCCCTCATCTAATGAGTCGTCAGATTGTGAAGACAAAGTGATCGATGTGACGGGTTGGTACCACAACTAGTGGTTTAGCATTTCTTTTAGTGCCTTGCAGAAAGAAGCTTAGCCCTTAAATATTTAGATGCTAAAAACCACAATTTGTTTGTCACTTGCAGATTGTTAGCCTGAATTGTTTCCCTGGTTTAATATTCGAGATAATTATTTCTTTAATCTCTGTTTGAGTAGCTTTACTTTGTATGCAGATGAACTTGAATTTCAAGAAAAGGAGATTGAGCATTGTTCACTTCAAGAGAAGTTGGATATGGAGCTAAAGGAGCTAGATAAGAGACTTGAAGAAAAGGAGGTATATTTGCATTTTTGTAGTGTACTTCTTTTATTCTTTCCTCAGTTTCCGTACGATAGTATGAGTAAACTTTGATTTTCATGAAGGCTGAAATGAAGCGGTTTTCAAGTGGTGGTACATCTGTTCTCAAACAACATTATGAGAAAAAAGTTCATGATCTAGAACAGGAAAAAAGGGCACTACAGGTTGGTATAACGAGGTTTATATTGTAGTTTAGTGGAATTTATGAACCTAACTGATTAAATCAAATATTCATGCAGAGAGAAATTGAAGGTTTGAAACAGAACCTTGGTAGCATACCAAAAGGAGATGGTGCCCAGAAACTGAAGGAAGAGTATCTTCAGAAACTGAACACGCTTGAAACACAGGTAACTCCCGTTTTACATATTAGTTATATTTGTGTTTCACAGAAAATTTTCATAAGGCATTGTCTTTTGTTCCTTTAGGTTTCTGTTCTGAAGAAGAAACAAGATGCACAAACTCAGCTTTTGAAGCAAAAGCAGAAAAGTGATGATGTGGCAGGAAAATTGCAGGATGAAATACAAAGAATTAAATCCCAGAAGGTGTTTTTTTATTTTTTGTAGTGATCTTTATTCGGGCCTGTTCGTATATGTATTCATGCATGAGTGTCTTAAGTATGCTAATCTGATTTTATTCTACTTTTCAGGTGCAATTACAGCATAAGATTAAGCAGGAGTCAGAACAGTTCAGGGCTTGGAAGGCTTCGAGAGAGAAGGAAGTCATGCAGGTATATTTTACTAACTAACTGTTAAACGAATTAAGAATTTTTTTAAGTGATGACTCGAGGCTAACTTGATTTTATTGACTGATTAGTAATACTGATTCTTGTCAAGTTTCATTCTGTCATTAGTCACCTGTAGCCAAATATGACCAGTGCTTGTATATATTTGATTTGAGGATTCTCAAGACATTTTGACTTGGTTATTCAGAAAATTATTTTGGATTGTAACATCGATTTTTTCATGTATTAAACTTTACCAGCTCAAAAAAGAGGGAAGGAGAAATGAGTATGAGATGCACAAACTCATGGCCTTGAATCAAAAACAGAAGCTGGTGAGAACATTTTTATAAACTCCCGACCAATAATATTGATCCTTTCTATTATTATGGCTGCTCAAAGTCTGGTTTTATCAGGTTTTGCAAAGAAAGACAGAAGAGGCATCTCAGGTGACAAAAAGACTCAAAGAGCTTTTAG